ACAGCCAATCCTGATCCAGACTTTGCTCACGCTCTGTAGAAAAGAGAAAGTCTGATCATCACACTTAAGAATTTTTAAACAATCTGGCTTCCAGTCAAGCACAACACCAAGTGTTCACAATGAAAAGAGCATGTCACAAAGTGCAGAGGGTACACAGCGATCCTTGACTTGTTTGGCTGGAGCTCCTTCATCCATGGAACAGACTGCCAATACTTAACTGTGTATGTCGTTCCAATAATGAAGGAGCTCTTAGTGACCCGCTTGCCATCAGAGCTTCTGAGGATGGTGAATAGAAATGCTTATTTCTTTTTTCTTGAAGGACAAGCAGAGTCTGGTTGGGGCTGACTGTCATGTACCCAAGGTAATGGTAACTAGCGGACACTGCATCCCACAGTGTGCTACGGATACTGGTAAACTCCAGAGGCAGGGAGTTGTACATAGAAGGAACAGGGTTCTAAGACACATAGGGGATCACAGCCAAGTACACAGACCTACTACTGTAAAACCTTATTCTGCTTAGTCCAAATAAAAACAATTGTCAAATAGCAATGTCATGTCATTGTGTAGTGCATGGACCCATCTAGGCTACTGAGAACAATGATGCTGCGTTGATGTGAAGATATATTAATCACCTGACCTCTCACCTCCACATATATATATATATATATATATATATATATATATATATATATATAAACCTCAGCAAAGTTTACATTTCAGCTATGGACCTTAGTCATTAATGATGATACTTTTCAAGGACAAACAAGGATTTCTTCTTGGTGGTCCTCTAAAATAATTTTTAGAAAATATAATAAAAAAGGTATTTTTTCCAGTTTGCCCAGAGATAGCTTCAAAACAACTTTTGTTACTTTTGATAAAGGTAATAAACATGACTTGTCTGTTCAAAACAACATTAGGGGTCGATTTACATTTTTGCGGTGCCTTAATACGTACAAAATGCATGTTGTGTTAATGCAGCCAATTGAAATGAATGGGGTGCCAATGCACCAAAACATCCCAAAAATTGGACGTGCCACACATTTTGTATTGCAACGCACCATAGGGCATGTATATTGACTTAGAGTAAAAAATGTGACTTATCTGTTCATAGCAACATTAGGGTCACTTTACATTTTTGTAGTGCCTTAACACTCCCATAACGTGTGTTGTGTTAAGACAGCCAATTGAAATGAATAGGAGGCCAATGCACCAAAACGTCCCAAAAATTGGATGTGCCACAAATTTTGTGTTGCATCACACCATGCATGTACGTTGCCTTAGAGCAGTGGTCTCCAAACTGTGGCCCTTTTTTTGCTTTTCTCTGACCCTTGGGGCATTATTCACTCACTCGTCAGCAACAGTGGGGTATAGCTCCTGCCACTAACAACAGGAAATTATTTTTCCCACTGACACCAATAATGGGGCACTATTCCTCCCACTGACACCAACAATGAGGTACTATATCTCTCCCTGACACCAATGATTGGGCACTATTCCTCCCACTGACAAGAAGGGTCACTATTATTCTCACTGATACCAATGATGGGGCTCTATTCTTCCCAATGACACCAGGGATGGGTTACTATTTACTCCCACTGACACCAAGACATTTTATATTCCCACTGGCCCCCCTAAAGTCTGAAGGACAGTAAATTGGCCCTTTGTTTAGAACGTTTGGAGACCCCTGCCTTAGGGTGTTGGGGTGCCATTCAAAATGAATAGCATCAGAATGCATGTAATGTGGTTTGCCGCATGCTACAATAAAGCACACGATACCAAAAAGCATGAATGTAAAAGGGCTTTAACAAGTATATTTCTGTAAAGTAGTAGGTCACAGTTATTTACAAATGAAGTAAGGATATTTTAAAACTTTTCATTGATACAAAAAAAAAGGATGAATGAAAAGAAATTAGAAAAAATTAGCTAAGATAAAGGAGGAATAAGGAGTTAATATTAGCTAATTCAAATAACAAAGGATTAGAAAGGGATTTATTGAGAACAAATTTATTTAAAAAAAACTTTTTTGATTACTTTATGGGCTTAATGTAGCTGACACTGTAAGAAGATCAAAGGACATGCCTTGAAACAAGTTGTGAAATAGATTTACCTGTAAGTGGAACTACCAGTAAAATATGAAATTGCAGCATCTGATCTAGTAAAACTGGGGCAATCTGTGTGTTGCTAAATTGGGGGGCCTTCCAGGGAAGTAAGAGTTTTATTTAATTAAAAAAGGGTATAATGCATATATGAGTTCTACAAGCGTGTTTTTATTCTTCATCGTTTGAAGGTAGTATGATAAATTAGGAGAGCCAAAATAGAATAAAAGAAGCATTTGCACGCCCTTCATCCAAGTGCAGTTTATTGCGATTTACAGACATAGCTTTAGTAGCTGAAACTGAGGAATCCACTAAGTGAAAGATGTGCATAGACTGTTTCTATGATTCACAGGAGTTAGCAGATATGTGTGATTGATGAGTGATTAGGTCATTCTTTATTAAATTCTCTTACTGGGATTAAATCATTTATAATGTATTTCATAGATGCTTTTCACCTTCGGAACAATTAAAACCAGGATGTCATCAATGCTGGGTTATAAGAAGAATCATGTTTAATCATCTTCGGGGTAGTGGAAATGAGCTTTTTTAATGCAGGATTTGAGCAATGGGATGTATAATATTTTGTCCTTGTGATACAGTCCCCATCATTTTGGATTCTTCATGTCAAAAGCCATATCATTAGTGTACAGTACCTTCTTCTGTAGCCATTTGGTGGATGTCTTAGTAAACCACCTATAATGGTTCTGGCCATTTAAAAACTAGTCACCAAGACTGAGGATATTTATGGTTGTTTATAAATTATTTCTAAATAAAAATGTAAAAATTTGGACAACTGTAAAATCTGCACTCATTCACACGGTTGTCTAGCTTGGCCATCACAACGAAGCAAAACAATGCTTACTTTTGCTAAGCATGCCGCTTTTGAAGGTTTAAAAATAATTTCCATATTGCCAAACTAAGTACATCAAAATCTTATGCTAAGAGGCCATTGGACATCAGGGTTTGACTGCTTTTGCAATACCTTGCCCCCAACTTCTTCTCAAAAAATTGGTCTATTCCTAACAACTCAGCGGATGATATTTAGCCAAAGCCACACCAACAGCCTAACATTCACCCCTATTTACATTCCAGAGAAGCTTTATCTTTATGGCTGTATGAGGGTACTGATGACCAAATCACAATGTGAATGGCTAGGTCTTCTTTAAAAACTGCTGGATAAACTTTACCTGAAGACAATTTTCAAGTGTGCACAATAGTTATAGACATTTGCAAATGATTACGTTTCTGTACAACTAATCAAGCAGGTAAGGTGTACTTTGGGCTTATGTGACAAATTGAAACAAATCAGAGATACAAACTAAAAATGCAATATACAAACTATTAAATATATCACTGTGGCATGACTAAGAACCTGTCTAGACAGCTACTCGGGAGTCCTACAAAGAAACTTGCTGGAGTTTAGGTTCCAAAGAGAAAACAATTAAGTGAACAGATTTTTCATATCCAAAAAACATTAGCTAAGGGCCAAGCTAAAGGCTACTAAATTAGGCCAGTAAACAAACTTTACATATGCTAAAAACACATGGCATCATTTTTATTGTTTGGAAAAAGGTGGATTACTATACAAATAGGGTGCAAGCCCTACCAGCCTTGGTGGTCCTATTTATTTGGCCCCTGAGTTCATAAGTGTTCAGTAATTTCCTGCTCCTACACATTGACACTCTTGGCCTATGTACGTCTATTGGACTTAACCATTGCAATGTGTGGTGGATAGTTTGGACACCTGGAGCAATATGATGGAGTCTAACGTAAACTGGCAATTTTAGCCAATGTTTTATAAAGGGTTTGAGGCATATTGTATTTCTTTTGTGGCTTAAGATTTGATGTGGTGGGGAGAAATTTAGAAAAATTTAATGAGGTAAGTGAGGCTGTCTAATGACCGGATGAGGGAGCACACATACTCTAAACGTGCGCCAACCCCCGCTATCACGTGACCGGAAGTGACGTCTCAATCCCGGAACTAGGAGGACGTGCTGGAAGCCACCAGCACCACAGTCAGATGCCAGTGACCACCATCCATTCAGAGGCTTCACACTCCTTCACTACAGCAGATGCTTATTAATTTACAAGTGCAAACCTACTTATGCTTTGTGAGTGGCCTGTATTACTACACTTTTTATTCATTAAAAAGCTTTTGTACTGCACTTAGAGGGCGCCGCCTCTTTCTTCCTGATCCTGTCTAACAAACTATCAAATCCATACACCGAGTGAAATATTATTTATATTGCCTGCGATTTTGTCTATAAATTAGTTCACTCACATAGTTACCATTGGTCCAGGTGGTGCAGCTAAGCCTATGACTATTCAGACTGGTTGAGGCGTTAGCTGAAGTACCCCTGCAACCAAGGTAGAAAGCCAGGGGACAGCCATGTCCATATACAACATAGAACAGCCTTTCTCAATCTTTTTACCCCAGAGGAACCCTTTAAACAATTTTAAGGTCTCAGAGAAGCCCTGATAAGATTAATCTATTGAGGATCATCTGGTGTGAAGAATCCCTCCCTTACAGGGGTGGCAAGAATGATACACCTGTAGTCATGCCACTGGCTCTGCCAAGTGGTGTTGGATCTGTAACTGTGCAGGCACCATCAGATGAGGGGTCAGTAAGCCAAAGCTCAAGGAACCCCTAGCTATCCCTGGAGAAACTCCTAGGGTTCCATGGAACCCTGGTTGAGAATGGCGGGCATAGACGGGCCATAATTCAAAAGTGGGGATGGTATGACATTTTTCTTGGGCCCAACAAAGAGGCTTGTTTCTAGTGCCGTATAAATCATATTTTGGTGATTGACTATGTATACAGATATTCCTTGTTTTCACCTACTGCTGCCTATTCCTCCTTACCTGTAACACATGGTGCCCCTTTCAGCTAGCTGACATAAGGGTTTACAGTACACAATGGAGGCATATAGGGTGGAGTTTACCAGCACTGAAGACCCAGAGCAGACTGTGGGATGTGTGTGACAGTAAAGTTGTGACCTTTGTACCTTGTTGCATGAGAGCTCCAACTCCAAACCAGAAACTATTAAGCAAAGTAAAATTGTTTTCCACGACATCTGAGTCAGGGTTGCACGGGTGTGGGTTATACCACTCGTAAGGGGTGAACCTGTGATTTTTAACAGAGAAAGTCTGTAAACATCAGATAAACACAAAGAGCATAAGCAAACCTGGGAGAGAAAAGAAGGCATGAGAACACTTAAAATACATTAAGAAACATTTAATTTCCTTTACATACTTGCCAACAATACTCACTTGGTGTTTTCAGTAATGTACTTAGGTTTTGTGCTGCCCTAAGCAACACAAAAATTGGCACCCCCTTCCCCCCCCCCCAGAAAGAGCCTGACATTGACCAAGAACACCCCTGCCTTGCACCTGAGTCTTCCACTACCACTGCCCCCATACACCAGCCGCCATCCCCCATGGCGAGAGAGAGAAAGACACTCACCTTCACAGCTGCAGACATCCCCAGGAACGAGAGTCGGGCTGTGCATACACTGTCATGAAACCCACAGCATCTCTCAAAACCCACCAGGTCCCCATGCCGCGTGCGTCCCTTCTTCCAAGGGGCAGTGCTGCCCCCCCTGAAAAATGCTGCTTTAGGCAAATGCCTTGTTTGCCTTATGGTAAATATACCTCTGGGTATTTTATTGAAGAAAGAACATGTTTTAGCAAATGCCTCTTCCAGCTGCTGGAAGTCTGCAAAGTTTGGAGAAAACTAGGTCTGCTGGCACGTATGTTTGCACATAACAAAGAAACAATGGTTATTCATTAGGGCATGCTGTTAAAAATACAAATACAGTGAAACCAATTAATTCAATCAAATGCAAACATTAGCACTTCTCTATATGTAAAAGACAGTTTTGATTAGTCTCAACAGCAAAATATTTTAGAATTATACAACTGTAATCATACACATTGAGAGTAGAACACCTGATAAAACTAGATTTTATGTCTGGATAAAGTAGGAAAAAGAATAGAACCTCTGTCAAGTTTTATTGCTCTGTGTCCTAACTGCAGAGTAGGGATGTATGAATCTTGGTTTTAGTTTGCAAACAGTTTCATGAATTGTTCCTGCAGTTTGTAAACTTTGTGGGGAACCCCAATAAAGTCAGTGAGGGGAAAATCCTATTCCATTTTGGCCATTTTTAAGGCCAATTTAAAAAATGGTTTGGCTTAAAATGTTACTAAACCCACAACAGTAAAATCAGTCTGTATATGCTGTAAAGCATGCTTGTTATACTCACTGTGGAACCTAAGGGGTTAATCCTCTGCATTGTGTAAAAACGCTGTTTGATCCTGACTTCTCAGATCCTTCTTTTCTTCCAGTGCCACCCTCTTATCTCCTGATAAGTTATTTCGTGTGGAGTCCCTCTGCACATACTCAGTTTGGCGTTTATTGCTAGAGAGGTTTTTTTTTTTTTTTGGGAGGTGCATGTGATCAGCACAAGGCCAATCAGCACTGTTTAGACAGAGGTCAGGGTCCTGCATCCTCCTAGAGCAGAATGAAAACTCCTCCTACATTTAACATGTGTTCGGCTGGACACTAATGGAAGTCACAAGACTGCTCTAACTGCTGATGAGAAAAGGTATTTAGCAGTTTATATTTACTAAAATAATTGTACTTCTATGTCATGTGTACTGTGGGAGACCAGATATAGTGAATGCAGGACCCTGGGTTTAGTAACACTTTAAGTTCCACTCCAACCCAAAACCACATTAGGAGAGAACATTTGGATAAAACAATGCTGACTTCATTAAATCCTAATCCTGATCAAAACTGGAACTATAAATCAATTTTGGCATAAATACAAATGTGACTAGAGGTTGATATTAATTATTGCTCTTGCAGTGTCTTGTTAAGTAAAGGCCAGCCTTTGTGAGGCTACATACTACATTAGATACTTTTGCATTGATCCAAAACAGTTCTCTAGGCATTTGATTAAATTTTTCCATATGTACACGTTTGTACCTTGTTAATAAGAAACGCTCTTTGTTGTAGATATTGTTGTAGATATTATAATTAATAGGGACAATAACAGCCAGACACATGTACAGTTGCAAGAAAAAGTATGTGAACCCCTTGGGATTACGTGGAGTTTTGCATGAATTGGGCATAAAATGTGCTCTGAACGTCATCTAAGTCACAACAATAGAAGAACACAGTCTGCTGAACATAATACTACACAAACATCAGATGTTGCCATGGTTTAATTGCACATAACATGTAAACATTCACAGTGCAGAGGAAAAAGTATGTGAGGCCCTAGCTTAATGACTTCTCCCAGAGCTAATTGGAGCCAGGAGTGAGCCAACCTTGACTCCAACCAGTGTGATGATATTGGATGTGTTGCTGACAGCTTCCTGCCCTTAAAAAACACACACCTGTTTTGGGTTTACTGGTTTCAAGAAGCACTGTCTGATGTGAACCATGCCTCGCAGAGAAGAGCTCTCAGAAGACCTACGATCAAGAATTGTTGACTTGCATGAAGCTGAAAAGGGTTACAAAAGTATCTCCAAAAGCCTTGATGTTCATGTGTCCACGGTAAGACAGACTGTCTACAAATGGAGAACGTTTAGCACTGTTGCTACTCTTCCTAGGCGTGGTCATCCTGTAAAAATGACTGCAAGAGCACAGCGCAGAATGCTGCATGAGGTAAAGAAGAATCCCAGAGTGTCAGCTGAAGACCTACAGAAATCTCTGGCACATGCTAACATTTTTGTTGACACATCTACAATAAGGAAAACATTAAACAAGAATGGAGTACATGGGAGGACACCACGGAGGAAGCCATTGCTGTCCAAAAAGAAGACTGCAGCACGTTTGAAGTTTGCAAAAGAGCACCTGGATGTTCGACAGCACTACTGGCAGAATATACTGTGGACAGATGAAACCAAGATTGAGTTGTTTGGGAAGAACACACAACACTATGTGTGGAGAAAAATAGGCACAGTACAGCAACATCAAAACCTCATCCCCACTGTGAAACATGGCGGAGAGAGCATCATGGTTTGGGGCTGCTTTGCTGCCTCAGGGCCTGGAAGGATTGTTGTCATTGATGGGAAAATGAATTCCAGAGTTTATCAAGACATTTTGCAGGAAAACGTACGACCATCTGTCCGCCAACTGAAGCTCCGCAGAGGATGGGTGATGCAACAGGACAATGACCCAAAGCATACAAGTAATTCAACAAAACAATGGCTGCAACAGCACAGAATACACCTTCTGGAGTGGCCCAGTCAGAGTCCTGACCTCAACCCCATTGAAATGCTGTGGCATGACCTTAAGAGAGCGATTCACACCAGACATCCCAAGAATATTGCTACACTGAAACAGTTTTGTGAAGAGGAGTGGTCCAAAATGATTCCAGATCGTTGTGCAGGTCTGATCTGCAACTACAGGAAACGTTTGGTTGAGGTTATTGCTGCCAAAGGAGGGTCAACCAGTTATTAAGTCCAAAGGTTCACATACTTTTTCCTCCCTGCACTGTGAATGTTTACATGTTATGTGCAAATAAACCATGGCAACATCTAATGTTTGTGTAGTATTATGTTCAGCAGACTGTGTTCTTCTATTGTTGTGACTTAGATGATGTTCAGAGCACATTTTATGTCCAATTCATGCAAAACTCCACGTAATCCCAAGGGGTTCACATACTTTTTCTTGCAACTGTAGGTGTAGTTGGCTTTTCATATTCAATTGGATATATAAAAAACAGTGATTTACAACTGCAAACCAATAGATTTGAGTTTACTGAAGTCGGAACCATGAGAGGGGAATTCTGATTGGCTGTTTTGGGCTACCACCAATTGCAATCTGCTCTTTCTATAGCTGAGTAAGCCTACAAGGAAATGGATGACTTGGTAACTGCATTTTAAAATTTAATTCAACTCAGTTTAAATCAGCTAAACACATTCCAAGTGTATCAAAATAAAAGGTGTTCAAAGCCCTGCAGTTTGTTCTTTGTAAAGCAGCCACACCCTGAGCAGAAAAGCCTGTTCCCTGCCAGCTTGCTGTAGAGAATGACTCTTGTTCAATATTTGGAAGTAGTGGCCTCTCTGCAGAGGTCCAACATACTCCCTTGAGTAGGATCAATAGCTCTTCACTCAGCAAAACTCAGGCTCCCCATTGATTTCAGAGCTCTGACTTTGCAGGAGTGTGATGGACTCCTGCAGAAAGACCACTGCTTCCACACCCTGCAAGCTGGCAGGGTGTGGCTGCTTTCTTAAGAAACAAACTGTAAAAATCTTACACACCTTTTGTTTTGATGTGCATGGCATGTAACTAGCTGATTTAAAATAAAATCATGTATCATATGTATAATTCCTGAAAGAGTGTTAGCACATACTGGTGATGCATATTCCCCTGACTAAACTAAAGGAAACCATATGCTCTTAGATTTTTTTTTTCATTCAGGCTGCAGGCTGAAGTTTCTCTATTCAAATGCTAATTAACTAGTTTGACTAGTTAATGAACAGTAGTAAAACAGGAAGTGAATTGATTTGTGCAAGTAATGGGAAGGGTGGGGGGCTAGGAAAAAATTTAACACAGCCAAGTGCTGAACACAAAGTTTTTTGGACTCGAGGAAGCAAGAAGGAGTTTGGAAGAGGTCCTGGATAGAAGGAAGATGACTCTATATCACCAGGAACAGCAAAGGAGAAAGGGGACACCATAAGAGCAAAGAAAGTCTATGCAGGGAGGGCTTCACCTGGGGATGACACTAAATCTACACCATAACCCAAAGTTAAGCAACTTTTAGTGTATTCTTATCATATACATTGTCAAAGCTCATTTTCTAGGAAGGATAGGTAACTTGTGCAATATTAGTAATACTCTATATATTGTGTATTGTTTTCCTATAATTGTAAGAAGTTGCATGTGCAGCAAAGTGTTTGGTAAAGTACATTAAAAAACTACAGAAGTTTGTGTTCCTTGCTTTATTGCAGAGTGACAAGGCAAAACAGATGAAAAGAGAAAAATCTAACAGGTTCCTTCATCTCCATGCAATGCAGTTTGGATGGACGCATTTCAAACTCTATCTATTGTATTCTGAATGCAGGCAGGGGCGGCTGTCAAAATACCCAAAGAGTGCCTGCATCTGATTGGAT